CGTAAAATAAGGTAGGTGCTGGGAACCCTATAACTTGAGAATGAAGCTACAAATTGCCATTTGAAACATGCCATTATCATCTAAAATGAATCGAGGGTGCATTACAGCAGTTACAACTATGTGTGATGTGTGAGTCCAGCATAAACAAGCTTTTTTTCACAGTGACTACAAAATTGATGGCTATGTCTATACCCTCACTTTGTAACATGTAACTATAATTTTAGCAAATTACAAGACATTTTATGTAGATGGTTTAAAGGAAAATAATACGAGCTGTGCATTTATCGCTTTTTCCAACTTTTTTTTGCTTTAATCTAGCTTAAAATCACCATTAACTTTGTGCATAGTATTTTTGACTAAAAGATGTTGCCATTGTTGTTCTTGTAGTGTGTACATAGTAGGAACCCTATAACTTCACTTTTAGCGATTTCAGAAGCATCATTTTTATACATTTTGGACAAGAAAACAATGGACTGTACAATGGACAAGAAAACAATGGACTGTTTGCTTTAATAAGGCTGAAAATCACCATTAACTTCGTGCGTAGTATTTTTGACTAAAAAATGTCACGATTGGCATTGTTATTCTCGTTGTATGTGCCTTTATTTATAATACAATACTGTAATATGCACTTATACTTGAAACCCTGTACATAAACTTTTAAACAAGTTTCAGAAATCATCTTATATATATATATATATAGTTTAAACCCTGGTTTTCATATGTCGTAATTCATCGGCGATCATCGGCGAATCAACTTCCCGATGAGATAGGACGAATTGCGATGAGTTACGATTAATGAAAACCGGTAATCGGGAATGTTCCCAGACTATCGGCGACCATCATAGAAAACAAAAACATTTGTTTTTTCCCGATTGTCACCGATGTTCGCCGACAAATTGCGACTGTTGTGTAAATGAAAACCAAAAACTGATGGAATGCGATGAAATGCAACAAGAAATTAGAGTCCAGTCTCCAGAAATCATCTAACTTCAAAATGGCGGACGAAGCTGTTGCTATACAGAAAATTCAAGAAAGTGATGCCTTATTTATGGATTAATCCAAGAATTTCCTACTATATACAACCACGCGTCAAAGGATTTCAAAGACAAGAATAAGAAAGCAAACTGCTGGAAGAAAATCGCAGAGCGACTCAACATGATTCAACAAACTCAGACGAAGGAAGTGATGACAGCATTGCCAGTGTTCAGACAACTGTTAATCAAACTGTGGATGAAAGCATATCTACAACAAAAGATAGTACAACTACACTTAGCACTCATAAAGATAGCACACAAGGAAAAATAAAAAAACAGTGGAAAAAAACCACAAGCCGAAAACGAAAAATAGAGGAAACCGACGGACAATTGGATAAGTCGACTGCAAGTCTCAATGAAAGCATTAAACTACAAGAAAGTTCCATGAAACGTGCAGATAAACAAGAAATGGATGAGGATTATATGTATTGCATGAGCCTGGGGAATAGGATGAGAAAGTTAGACGAAAAGAACAAGGCAGTTGTCCGAAGCGCAACAGAGAAAATATTTTTGGATATTCAGTTTGGTAACTACAATAATCTCACTATGCAAAATCCGATGCAGTTTACCACGCAACAACCCCTAATTCAATCCAGTTCACAAAATTTGCTGGGTAATTATCTGTGGACAGCATCTAACAATCCATTTCCAGCACAGAATGATCAACAATTTGCATGAATAATGCACTGTTTGTTGTGCTGTCAAGTTCAAATTGATCCTGTTTTTAGCACTGACATTTTTAAGTAGTTTAATATGAACATTGAACATATGAACACTTTTTACATGCTTACTCTATTTTTAAGAGAGAAACTGGACATAAAAAATGTTGTAGTTGGATGAGTTCCTTGTTTGAGTTCCATATATAATGAGATGGTTATAACAACATTTACAAATTAGCAGCTATTTACATGAGATTTTTGCCATGGTAGCGAACCATTTTTACTATTAAAATAGTTTTTAAAATTATCTCGAATATCCTTTGCTTTATGTGATGATCTGTTAAAAGCTCGACCAGTATGCGTACGTTTCAATACACCTTCTTCATCCTGGACAATACTTCTCCAGTCACCAGGATTAATGTTTCCTGATGAATCTTCTGAATCGATAAAACCTGTTGGAATATACTGTGCATTTTCGGTTAGCTGTAAGTAATTGTGCAGGCATAAGCACGCTTTCACTATACCATCAACCGTTTCTGGTGCAGCTCTTATAGGCCTTCTGAAAATATGCCATCTTGCTGATAAAATACCAAAACAATTTTCAATTGTCCTTCGACAGTGACTTAACCTGTAATTAAAAACAGCTTGCTGTTCATCAAGACCCTTTCCAGGGTAGGGCTTCATTAGCCATCTTCTAAGTCCAAAAATTTCGTCTGAAACAATCACATATGGAAGGTAATGTTTGTCCACTTCTGTTGGAGATGGGATGTTCATTTGTTTTGCATGGAAAGCCTTTCCTATATCAGATTCATTAAAAATGTGAGCATCATTATCCTTTCCGTAATTTCCCACATCGACAAGTGTGAAGCAGTAATTTGCATCACACATTGCCATTAAAACAATGCTGAAAAAGTGTTTGTAGTTAAAATATTGTGATCCACTGTATCCTGGGCACTCTATAGCTACGTGCTTTCCATCGAGAGCCCCTAGGCAATTTGGAAAGCTCCATTCCATGAAGAAGTCATTTGCTATCTTCTTCCAATCTTCCTCTGTCCTGGGTGGTTTAAGGTAAGTTTTATTGAGGGCGTGCCAACTATATTTACACGTCTCCCATATTATGTTGCACACTGTTGTTCTTCCGACACGAAAATTAAACGATTGACACTGCTGTGAATCTCCAGATGCTAAATATCTTAAAGTTATTGTAAGCCGTTCCCCGCTGGTGCGATTGTTTTTTTACTTCTGCAATGTTGTTTCACAATATAGGGACCCACAAGTTGCAGTAAGTTCTCAAAACGATTAGGACTCGTTCGAAGGAATCTTAAAACAAATATGATAGAAAAGTTCAGAATTTAGTCGAGTATTAATACAGCAAACTGTGAAGCAAGTTTTATACTGACTAACAAATTGGAGACCAGTCATTTTAAGACGAAGTACTTAGATAAATAATAAAAATAAATAAATAAATTACCTGAAATAGTACTCCCAATCGAAAAGATTAAGTTCATTCACTAAACTATGAAATTGTCCTAATTCTTCTCTTCTTTCATAAATTTTCCTCACCACAGCAGTTTTGTTCTTTTTAGCAGAAGGCCAATAATCAATAGCATTTTCTTTTTGAGCAATAACCTTCTATTTAAGGCAGCCATCTTGCAAGATTAAAAACTCGTGCCAAAAAGCACAAAAACTATCGGTGTTTGTCGGCGATAATCACAGTCCCTCATCGGAAAGTTGATTCGGCGATGATCGCCGATGAAGCAGGCTTAAAGGGATGTGCATGCACTTATTGCCTTCAAAACGTCTTTCAGTCATTTGATATTATTTAAGCTAAAAATCACCAATGTCAATAATGAACTGTTTAATAATTTTTTTTCACTGATAGATGCCATACAAAAAGGATTTTCGTCTTTTTTCGAGATTGAAAAAGCAGCAGTTTAAAGTAATGAAAAAGGTGAAAGTACGAAACGAAAAATAAGTGCAAAACTAGAAAAGGCCAGAAAGGTATAAAATCATACTTAAAATAAATAGTCTGTCTTATTTTTTAAATTTGGACCAAACAATGGACTGTAAACTAATAAACTACCTTCTGTATACAATCCCACATCAATTGCTTCCATGAGTTCCATCTCTTGATAGGGATGGGCCGATATTGATACCAAATACTTGATACTATCAATACCAGGGTTTTGAAGAAAAGTATCGATACTGGCAAGAAATATCGATGTTTCAATATTTCTGTGCCTGCAATATTTTTTTCATTTTGGTCAGCATCATCATCATGAAAATGATACCAAAAAGCCTAAACAGGCATAAACTACTAAAGTAGTTCATTTTCTATGGTGCTATAATGGTCCACGGGAAGGATGGGAGTTTCTGGTTATGTTGGTTGCAATCACTGACATATGTTATTCAATGTTTGTATTGTTAGCGTTGTTGCTGTTGTTAATGATTAAAAATAGTCTTTTAGTTGTTATGGTTGTTCGAGTTGGGAAAATATCGGTATCGATATCAAAAAACCCCCGGCAAATATCGAGGAAATATTGTATCGAATGAAAAAGCTGGTATCGCCCATCCCTATCTCTTGAGTAAAATGCTTTCCAATCATAGATATATCATAATCGATTAGCTATAAACAACTCTTGAAATTTTTTGTGAAATGTTGAATTTTTGTTTGAATGAGACCAAGATCTGCAGCTGGCCGCATCATGGATGGGGCACGTAAAACATTAGGCATTTCCAGTCTTCTGGATTGTCTATGCTGACACAAATATAAACATCTTGTAGATAACTGTTGTGGATGACAATTGTCCTGCTCCAGATCAACCTGAAGATGTTCTGGATAAGCGAGTAGAAGAAAAAAAATGCATTATCTGAGGCTACATGTCAACAAGTATGTGTTGCGCTTTACAGGTAAACTATGTGAAGCGTTCCTCTTTTGACTTCCTGACAAATTTGGAATTTTCCTCATTAGCTTTGCAAATTTGAAAAACTCTGCAAATCCCTTCAGGGAATTTTTTGTAATGTTCCTATTGCCTGTTACAATTTCCTGCCTTCCTGTTGTGTTCTGAGCATTGTCATTGGTAGATTATTTTTGTTAGCCAATTGCAACACGCAGGACAGAGGAACTTGTAACTTGTAAGGAAATTTAGTCGACCTTTATTTTAGCAGGAGTTTTTTAAATTGCAAAGGTAATGAGGAAAATTGCAATCAATTTAGGAAGTCAAAAGTGGAACTCTTCACATAGTTTACCTGTAATAGGTCAACCAAACAATCTGAAAAACAACTTTGTGGTTAATTTAATAATTTATTATGTTATAATATCTATTGCTTTAGGTTCTCAAGAACATGGACATCGCCTAGCAGAAACAAAAAAGACAATATGAAAAAAGAAAGGCGAAGGGTGTGAAAACGTTTGATATAAAGGTTGGGGATACAGTTTTCAAAAAACAAATTAAAAACCTGTGAAGGAAAGGTGGAAAGATGGAGCCTACTTGGATAGGACCATACATGTACACATAATTCATTATGAAACTAACTCCAGAATTTTAAACTCAGAATTATGCATGTGAACCATGCAATGGTAATTGTTCTTAAGATATTTTAACTTGCCAGTGCCCCTATCAACAAAGATTTTAAATTAATAAACTAATCTTGTAGCAGATAGTAAAAATGATATAACTATGCGACTCCCGATCAAACACCCTGCTACCCCATGAGCATCACATATTTTGTGAATGGCCCCATTTTCCCAACTTCCACTCATTTTATAATTCTTAAACAGTATCATATTAATTCTGTTACATACTCTTTCTTTTAGAGTGACAGAAATTGACAAGTTGCAAAGGGCAACCCTTGTCATGTGCTGTCCCTTTGAAAAAAAGTCCCTTATGAGTTATGACCAACGTCGACCCTATACTACAAGTGAACTTCATAACAGCACCTCACCAGCAGACAATGACACCTTGCCACCAGGAGACACCTCCCCTCCAGCAGATGAATGCACCTCACCATCTGCAAACAACAACACCTTGCCACCAGCAGAAAGCACCTCGCCAGTACTGCCAGCAGATGATGGCACCTAATTGGTGCCAACAATTCTTCAAGATGACTACTGGCTCAATGATGAACATATCGATCATGCCCAATAGTTAATATCAAAAACGTTTTCCCATGCAAAAGGTTTGCACTCAGTGTTAGTCTTTGCAAGCAGAAAGCCGAGGGTAGAGAGAGGATTGGAAGACTTTGTGCAGGTCATTTTAATTGGTGGAAATCACTGGGTGGCGATTACCAACATTGGTTGTGAAAACAACAAAGTTAAAGTTTATGACTCTCTTTACTACCTTTATGCCAAACTTCCAGAGAGCGATAGACAGAAATTCCATACATCATTGGCATCCTATTACTCAACACAAATTTGATATTCCCCAGTCTGAGTTATCTCATTTAAAGTGCCTATAAACCCAAAATGTGTTTTTGATGATTCGGATAGAGCGTAAAAAGTTACAATAGAAGTTCTAGATTAGATTTTGATTTAAACTTCTAGTTTCTGAGATACAACGGCTCAAACACTCAAATTTTGCCATTTTTGAAAAAAAAGTCGCGCAAGTCAAATTCACTGCAAAAGCCTGGGTCGGAGGAACACGTTCTTCGCGTTCAGTTGCTTTTCTATAATACAAGTAGACGCAACTTCGAGAGTTTTTGCCTTAAAATGCCTAAACGGTGTGTCGTTTACGGTTGTTCCAACGTTGCTGACACAAAGAAGGGTATTTCTATCTACCAATACCTTTTTGGAATGATAATTCGCCCGTAGCGGTCAGGAGAAGGAAAAGATGGCTGAGCCTTTGTTCGACACAGAGTCGCAGACGAGACAAATGGATCCAATTAGTGTGCTCAAAGCATTTCACTGAGGAGTGTTTTGTATACGGTTCTGAAAGTGTGGAAAAGAAAAACACTCCGAGACTACAGTACATAAAAATCAACTTTCTGGCAGTGTGAAATCAGAGCGCACGAGTCGCATGAAGCGAAGGAAGGTACTGTAAGCTAATAATACTTTATGTTTATTCACCAGAACTCGCATCATTAGCGCGTTTATTTACATATATTTGATTTGTGAATCAAACCTTTTCCTGTTATAAACTTATATTAAGGTATTTGTATAAAGTTAAGCGTTCTTATGTCGTGTAAACAGAGTCAGTCGAGAACAATAGAACTGCATGTCCTTAATATGGCTCATGTCGTGTATCACAACACATGGGCCAACGAAATTTATTATTAAATACCCTTTTATTATACCCTGTGACTATTTGACCGGCAGCCAGTCACGTTTCAAAATGTACTAAATGACCGGCAGTCTGGTATTTAGAGTTAAAGTCATGTTTAAAACACGCGCTCGATCATTGTAAACAACACAATTTATAATGCCAGTCATTTAGACATTTTGAAACATGACCGGCTGCGGGTCAAATAGTCACTCTGTTTATTATAAGACTAATCTTGTGGTTTCAACTTTATACGACAACAGGAACTTGTCAAAAACCCTGAAAAAGCACTGACAACATCAACTGTTGATGAGCCAGATCTATGTTGAACCTTGCACATCTACAGAACAAGGAGAAATGGTACGGTTGTTGGTGTGGTCTCATTTTTTATACACCGGGGGGATTTGAACTTTTGAAAATTTGATTGTTCAAATTCCCCACCCCCTGGCAAAAAGTGTGTTCAAATACCAAACTAAAACAAAAAAATTAATGGGAAAATTCCCTGTGCCAAGGAAATATTTATGAAACTGTCAAATGAATACAGAACACTGTTTTTAATGTATAAGACATTCATAGATGTTAGATTTCAATTTCCGCCATCTTGTCTTAAGTTAACTTTTCAGACCGAATGACTGA